CCGCCCCCTTGCTTATGCTGTGCACCCAGGTGTTCGATTCTGGGGTGTACGGAGAAAAAAGGGGAGGGGTTCCCCTTCGCTATTTCTAAAACATTTGACTATGGACACGAGAACTGCTGATTATTCCTGAATGTCCCACGCTTTTATTAAAAAAAGACCTGTTGGAGACTTTGATTTCCCCTACTGTTTTCCAGGACTGTAAAGAAAAGCAGGCTGCTCTCTGCCTTCGCCATGCCCACCTTGCTGAGGAAGGCTTTGCAGCCACTGCCGGCTGAATCCTCCCAGCTGCCTTGGTCACAGCCCAAGCCTGGGAACTCTGCTTACAGCCACCTGCCCCCCCGCAGGTAGCAACTGACTGAAGCGAGGAGGGGCCCGGGAGGTTTCAGATCCCAATTCCAAACAGCCTTCCCGAGCTGTTTGCAAGTTTCACAGAGAACAACTGCCCCCAGCTCCCAGACCACAGTTGTGGAAAGCTTGGGGTTCAGCAATGCCAAGGAGAGCCGGTTTTGATGGCACATGCTGGTAAGAAGGCAGGGCAGCAATGGTGAATGAGCTGAGCAGCCTACTTAAAGGGACATCACCTGGATGGCAGAGAAGCTTTTTCTTACCAGGACTAAGAAGATCAAAGAAGAAATCTTCTCGAGGTTTGGCCTGCTCAAGGTAATCGAGGTTGATGGTAAAACTGCCTTGTTGCGTACTTTCTTCATCCATTCTTCAATTGAAGGGCATCTAGGTTGTTTCCAGGTTCTGGCTATTACAAACAATGCTGCTATGAACATAGTAGAGCATATATTTTTGTTGTATGATAAGGCCTCTCTTGGGTATATTCCCAAGAGTGGTATTGCTGGGTCCAGGGGTAGGTGGATGGAGGTGGGTGGTCTTTGGACTTCCCACAGGGCAGAGAACCCTGATTGCTCTTTGGGCTGACGAGGGAGGGGGACTTGATTGGAGAGGGGGGAGGGAAAGGGGAGGCGGCGGTGGGGAAGAGACAGAAATCTTTAATAAATAAATAAAAAAAACTGCCTTGTTGCTCAAAAAAAGTCAGGGCATAGGTAAGACTGAAAAAAATTACATTGTTCCCCCAGAGTTCAGGACAGGTAAAAAGGATAAATAAAGACCCTTACCAAATTAGCCTTTGGAATCTGGCACTAGAGACTGGGTACAGCTCCTTCCCCTAGGCCCATTCTGTGTACGACACACCCCGTCTCAGCTTGGACTAACCCCCTATGAGATCCAATATGGGGGTCCCCCTCTTAGTTTCCTAAGGCCCCTCATGACCCATTTGCTCACAAACCCCATCTGCAGGCGCGGTTGAAGGCTCTCCAGATCTCTGAGCCCAGACATAGAGACCCCTGGCCACCCTGACACCTGGAAATCTCTCATTCGTTCCAGAATTGACACCTGGGGTATATCCGGAGGGACATGAGAAAAGCTGCAGCACCCCACAGCCAGAACAGCAGCTGCCCGCTCATACCTGCAATCCATGCCTCCTCAAGCCCTTGCTTTGATACCCCTGCCCTCACCCCTGATTTCTGTCAACTAGTAGCAGGGCTAGCCTCCTGGGATATCTGAGATACATATCCCCCAAAGCTGACCCTGGAGGCTGGCAAGATTTCCCCTGGAGGAAATATTTGGACACGGGGGTTCAGACATCTCCCTCACTTGTCTCCTAGGGGCGAGAAGCGGGACTGTCTCCATGGGTGTCAGGAAGGACTTGGGACATAAAATGATATTTATCTGACCAGAGCCTGCTGCTGCAGGCCAGACTAGACCCTCCCTAACGGGGCCCTAGCTATCCCTGCTGCTGCCCGCTGGACTAGGCTACTCTCCCTGCTTCTCTGCTGGCACCTCCCAACACCAGCCCAGGCACCCGGAAATCTCACACCTGTTCCAGGTTGGCGATTCTGTGTATGTTCAGAGACACCGGTCCCAGAACCTTAAACCTCGCTGGAAGGGACCCTACACCTACTGCCCTCAAAGTGGACGATCTTGCAGCCTGGATCCATGCATCTCACGTCAAGCCTACACCTCCACAGGACGACCCAGGACCATCCAAATAAAAGTTTCAGCGTACCCAAAAATCCTCTCGCCTCTTGGGAGGATACTGAGCAAAGCCCTGGAAACTTTTATCCTGTATGTAAATATTCTGAATGATATATTTGTCCGGGGGGGAAAGACAATATGGGGGGGGCGGCTAAAGTTTATTGTGCTGCCTGGGGATGTAAAACCAATGTCAATGTCTCCTGGTTGAGGGTTAACAAAAAGGACTTAGTCTCTTTCACCCGTACCACACCAGAAAAAAAAAAGTCTAAAATCACAATCACTTTTACTGAACACCTCCAATGACCATAGTACTAGGGCCCAACCCAGTATTAACTGACCAGGGCCAATGAGCCCCTGCTGAGGTAGCCCCCCTTTCCAGGGCCCTGGGCTCCACTCCTAGTCCTAAAAACCCTTCTACAACTCCTGCTTCACTGCTGGCAAGCTCTAATACAGGCCAGTGACTGTTTAATCTGATAGTGGGAGCCTTTTCTTTGCTAAATAGTACTGACCCCAGCTTGACACAATCTTGTTGGCTATGCTTGTCAGCAGGACCTCCCTAATATGAGAAAATAGTCTCATCTGACAGTTTATTGATCTATGATGGGTCTATAACACTTGTTTGTTAATTTCTGTATACAGATCCAATTGGTCCTCCAAATTTACTAATATCTCAAGATTGAGATATTTGACCAAATAAGAGGAGGGAATGTAAGACTTTAAGACAATCCTGAAGCCATTTTTGACAATTCTGAATCCTCTCAGCCTCTGTGCCATAGTGCTTCCCCTCCTCCCCTGGGAACCAAGGACCTAACAGCTACACTTGCACATACTCAGTTCCTGAACAATTACCCATACACGTATGCTTTGGTTCGGTCCCCTGGGAAATGGGGTCAAAATGACCTCTTACCTCATCTGATCTGGCAACAGCTCTCCAGTCAATTATTGGTAATAGCCCTTTCAAATAAGCCAATCAGCATAGTCAAAGAACAACCCCCCTTGCTTCTGTGGCCCCTTTAAAAGTAGACTGTACCCGCTATTCGAGGTCCCTCGGCTTCCCGAATGCTGGGGGACCCTGTCATGACAGAATTAATAAAATCCTCATGCTTTTGCATCGGCTGTAGTGTGTGAGATGGTCTCTGGGGGCGACTCCTTCTCGGTGTTTGGACGCCAGAGTCCAACAATACATTTACAGTGTTAAAAGAGAAACACACACACACACACACACAGAGAGAGAGAGAGAGAGAGAGAGAGAGAGAGAGAGAGAGAGAGAGAGAGAAACTCCTCCAAACAAAGAATGCAATACCCAGCTAATATGTTCTTTTTTTTATTTTTTTTTTATTTTTGAGACAGGGTTTCTCTGTAGTTTTTGGTGCTTGTCCTGGAACTAGCTCTTGTAGACCAAGCTGGCCTCGAACTCATAGAGATCCGCCTGCCTCTGCCTCCCTAGTGCTGGGATTAAAGGCGTGCGCTACCACAGCCCGGCTCAGCTAATATGTTCTTCAGAAATGACATCATTGTAGGACAAGTGAATTTATCACTAATTTTCAAACATAAATGGTAGTAGAAGAAACAAACCAATAATATTCTCATTGTTTAAATCAGAACTGGCCAAAGTTGAGACTTAAATGCCTCAGAGTCAGTCCAATAGGAACTCTGAAACCCAAAACTTCACCAGAGCCTCTGTGATCAACAAATACAGTTGAGACATTATTTCATAATGATTAGTCAATTTCAGGGTCTGGCTACTGCATAAACACTTTAATCTTATGCTGCTTATTTAAATTACATCAGAGTTTATATTTTTCTTTTCATTTTGAGATAAAGACTCCTGATGCCCAGGCTCACCATGAATTTCTCCTCCTCTTGCCTCCACCTCCCAAATGCTGGGATTGCAGGTATGTAGTATAATAGTTGGCTCTTTGGTTTTTTAAAAATTAATGTACACAATCAAAATGTCCAAGAACTCTACAGTATGTTCAAGAGACAAAACCTAAAAATCCACGTGATAGGATGAGGACATAAGCAATTTGTTCAATAAAATGCAGCAAATAATTTCTCAATCTTTGATAAAGAACATACAAACACAAGAAAATTTAGGGCCCCATATATGACCTAAGAAAAACCTCTCCACAACACAACATTGTTAAGATATCAATATACAAAGAATAGAAAGAATAAATTAAAATATGTAAGTGAAAAATACCAATAAAAGCAAAAATGTCAGAAAAACAGGCTGTAATCATAGGTGAAGGTCTCTTTGAAAATACTCATATAATGAGTTCTCATATACACTGAGCTGCTCTCCCTTTAAATACAGGCAAGGGTGATGGTAAAATATTTGGAATTTGTTCGAGTTGTGATAATAACCAAGAATTGAGTTAAAAGAGAATAAGAACCGGGACAACTTTACTGCAAGCTTCATTGGATGAGCTAGCCAAGGCAGTTCTGGAGAGCTAGTCTGGGTAGTGATGATGAAGAAAGCCAGCAAGCTGCCAAGACCAGCTACCATCCAGTCACAGGCCAGGGCTATGGATTGGCCAGCCCTGACATCTGCAGCATCAATGAACTGTTGAAGCATGTAAAGGGGACAAACCTACAAACCCAAAACTGCAGGCCCTCCATGATACGGGACAACAGCAGCATATCCAAGAAGAAACCAGAAGCTTTGAGCCAGATGAATGATTCACAGCAATGAACACTTGTATTGAGATTCTTCATGTGTGTGTATGTGTGTGTTTTGTTTTTTGTTGGGGAGTTCACAGGGGCAGAGGGCAGATGCAAGGGGATGGGGAGATAATTGGGATTATTATGCATGATGTAAAGTCAACAAATAATCAATAAAAGTTAAAAAGTAAAAACTGAGACAAGCCAGGCAGTGGTGGTGCACTCCTTTAATCCCAGCACTCAGGAGGCAGAGGCAGGCGGATCTCTGTGAGTTCGAGACCAGCCTTGTCTACAAGAGCTAGTTCCAGGACAGGTTCCAAAGCCACAGAGAAACCCTGTCTCAAAAAAACAAAAAAAAAAAAAAAAAGAACTGAGACAAAAGGGACGGTCCATTTACATAGCCATTTGACTGACTGGAACTTGGAAGGAAAGAGCTATTTGACAAACCCGTTAAGGATCTCATTTTAACCACCTATCTGAGAAAAATCTATGTAGTAATATTTCATTTGTATTTTAATAAATAAAGCTTGCCTGAAGTTCAGAGAGTAAAACAGCCACACTGATTGGCCTTACAGACCAGGCAGTGGTGACACACACCTTTAATCACAGTAGCTATACTAGTTTGCTATAGAAACCGGGTAGTGGTGCATGCCTTTAATCCCAGTCCTAGAGAGGAATATAAAGTGGGAAGAAGAGACAGCTCTCACACCCAGTCTCATTCTGAGATCCTGGAGGCAGGATCGCCATTTCAGACTGAGGTAGAGATAAGAGCCAGCGGCCGGCTATTTTGCTTTTCTGACCTTCAGGTTGAATCCCAATATCTGTCTCTGGGTTTTTATTAATCATGATACAAATCGATTACATTAAAGTTCTATGGGATGATTGTTTGTGGTGTTTGGAATTGACTCTGGGGTTTTATAGATGCTAGGCAAGCAGTCTGCCAATGAACTACACCACTAGCCCACATGAGGTACCCTATTAACAATTAGAAACTAGGTACTCTGAAAAGCAAAATATGTGACTTGGTTATTAATCAGTAAACATGTGCCATGGTTACTGACAGTAATGTTTATAACTCTGAAAGGGATAGGAAGCTGTCCTGGTGACCCTTGTGCTGTGATCTTAGAACCTATGAATGCTTGTCTGGTTATACTTTATATTTAGGTATCTGTGAGGCAGGAGATTCTGGGTCTGTTTGACTTTAAAGTGGATGCTTTTAAATTCCTAGGTTAAAGGGTTATATTTCATGTATAGATGGACACATTTGTTGACCGAGTTATTTCGTGCTAAGATAACTGCCTGATGCTGAGCACAGTATCTTCTCTACCCCCATCTGGTGTAGGAGGGTCTTCTTTCTGTGTTGCTTTCATTGGTTGAATAAAGAAACTGCCTCGGCCTTTTGATAGGGCAGCCCTTAGGTGGGCGGAGTAGACAGAACAGAATTCTGGGAAGAAGGGAAGTGTGGCAGACACCATGAATCTCCGGCCTGAGATGGACGGACATAGGTTAGAATCTTGCCAGTAAGCCACAGTCACATGGTGATACACAGATTTAATAAAATGGGTTAATCAAGATGTGAGAGTTAGCCAATAAGAGGCTAGAGCTAATAGGCCAGGCAGTAATTTTAATTAATACTAATTCTGTGTGATTATTTTGGATGCAAACTAGCTGGGCATCTGGGACGGAACAAAGCCCCCTCTCCCGCTCCTTTTACTACACCCATCCTTTATTATGGACATCCTGGCTGAAGGATGGAAGGCAGAAATATTCTATCACGTATCACCACATACTGTAGTTGGTATTGGCCAGTTCATATTTTGTGAATGCCTATTATTATTTGTGTCACTAATCCCATGGATTTTTCTGGTAGTTTCAGTATCAGAGGAGGACATCATCCATTGGCAAAATACACAGAGAAGGCACCCTGTTGTGCAGGTGGAATATTATCAGCAGGCCTCGGTTTTATTCCAGTGTTGTAAGGAAGCCTCAGGAGCAATCCTAATAGGGAGCTTTCCCATGGCCTAAAGCATAAAGGCCAGCTGTATATGGAGTGTTACGTGTTTAAGTTCTGTGTGAGCTTCTGTTGCCGAGAGGGCTGAAGAAGCAGCCAGTTACTTTTGGAATGCTGGATGGCATGATATCAAGAGGGTGGTTTCACTTGATCTTAGCCAAAAGCTGAAATGTATAGCTCAATAAAAAACAGTAAAACAAGTAAATGACATCCATCTTTCCCACAAAAAAAGAGGGTGATTTCTTTTATAGGAAGCTTTGAAGGGAGTAATGGCCATTTTGTATGGATACAAGATTAACAAAGGCATTACTGTCAAGTTTTACCTGACAGCACTATTTGCAATGGTCATTCATTCCCCCTTTTCTTAGGAAAAAAAAGTAAATTGTGTAACTAAATATGTTGCCCTCAGAACTTAGAAGTTTCTGTAAGATGTTAGATTTGAATGTACTTAGTGCATCAGATGAACCTACCTTCCTGGAAGATGTTGTCATTAATGTAATATGCAACCTGCATTCCCTTAGAAAAGTAGATTATGAGCTGGGCAGTGGTGGCACACGCCTTTAATCTCAGCACTTGGAAGGCAGAGGCAGGCAGAACTCTATGAGTTTGATGCCA